AAAAGGCTTATGGGGAATCAGTTTTATCGAAAACTCAAGTTTATGAGTGGTACAAAGCCTTCCAGGACGGTCGTACGACCGTCGAAGACATTTCGCAACGCACTACTGAGGTGAACTGGTTTCAACAGCTGCCGTAAACGAACTGTCTGACAGATCGAGCTCATTTTTGGCATAGTAATTAAGGACAGTGCTGCCAAACTACATAAACTTAAAATATCGAAAAATATACAGCGCGCGAATTTTAAATGAGAATTTCCGAAAACTTTTCAGTCTTAATGTATGTTACTATGTATACTCTTCAATCGGCATTTTTGAAAAAAACTTATTATATTCATAAGTTTTTATCATAATAAAAAGTATCATAGTTTTAAATATATTATAAGTAAATGCAATTTTGCCTAAGAAACTTAAGTGACTACTGCGTCAATTGATTTACACTTCTTGAAATGAGATTAAGTTACTTGATATCCAGGGATAAATAGTCCATCAAATGAATAAATATCAATACTTGGGGGGTAGCTGAATTACTGTTTATAAACTTGAATGAAAGAAATTTATAGTATTAGATATGTTTACATTATTAAATGCAATAGATCCAATTTCTATTAACTACTAATAAAAATTTACATTTTGAAATAGTGCACCTAACCTGATCATCTGAGTTGCAAATTATTGTTCTTAACTGTAGCTATATAAAACAAACTGTAGGATATTGTACACTATGGGCTTCGGAAACTATTAACTATCATTTGATCTCACAGAATTTTAAATCTCCATTTACGGGGTCGAACATAATTCAAATTAGATATATATCAGATTCGTAAAAGAATAATTGGGCTAGATTGATCAAAAGCTAAGGTATTGCATACAAATCTGAAGGCAGTAGAAGAATGTGCCGATGGAAATTAATCTGGCTCAACATTAACTAAAATCACATCACAAACTATGGAGATTCGTTATCAATATTGCCGAATTAAAATTAATAGCACTACGAGTGCAGTTATAGAAAACTCTAAATTTTGCTTCTAAAATTTTGAAAATGAACAAGTTTTAATAAGCATATTAATAACTCATCGTCGATACCTTAAGTTGTATGTTGTTTTATACTACACCCAGAAAAATATGATATAAAGAAGATATAAAAATCAACTAGTGCTTTGGTTGAACCAAATGACACGTTGAGTAATAGTATTTGGGCCTGAAGTTCAGTTAAAATCTGGTTAAGTCAATCAAATCATTTTTCTGAGTGTAGTTTATACTGATTGATTTTGATTTTGAAGAAATTATGTTTTCCCATTTATAGAGCTTAATTCCGAATTGTAACTTCATAAGCCTTCCAATCCTATTAAATATTGAAACATTATAAATATTATTAGTAAACTAGGTACGTGTTACATGAACAAAGTCACCTACTGTTACCTTAAATACCAATTGTACGGTGTTAAGTTGATTTAAACTATCATTAAAGCCACTTGTCTTTAATTTAAACGTTTTGAAGTAACTTACTTTTAATAGTTTTTGCTTTTAAGACAATCTGAGTTAAAATTTAAATGATTACATAAAATAAAAGACAAAATTGCATATGAGGTAATGCAGAAGGAAATGGGAGCAGCAATTATCTGCATTAATGTCAATGTTAAAAATCATGTTTTCGGAAAGTTGTTAACTTCACGCGAATATAATTTTTATATTTTACACTGTCAGGATTAGAAAATTGTCAAATGCGGTAAAAATTGCATATTTGAATTAAGTTATAAAACAAAATATTTTGCATATAACATATGCAATTACTATTAATAGCAGCTGTGTTGGTTAGTATTTTCGCTATAGATGTATCTGACTGTATCTGTCAGATACACAAATGCATCGAATTTGCCACTTCATAGCTTAGCAGAGCATTAAATCTATTCAAATATTTGCAAATAATGAACACATTATAAAAAAAGATTGATATCAGATGAATATTTTTAAGTGGATATTTTTGCAATGATAGTGGAGCATAAAATTTGCAGATTTTTATAAGGAAGTTATTGGGTGGTGTGTAAGAGGTTTGTTTTGAATAGTAAAAGTTTTTGTTATAAATAACATTATAAGTTCAATTCCCAAAAGACTGTATAGATTTAAATTATAAAACTATTTGATTAGTAATCTGTTAGAATATGCACATATTTCAATAATTAAATATTCTTAAAAGTATTAAACATAAAATTTTTTAAAAGAATTATATGCGACTCTAAATTTTTGCAAACATTATTGGGTGTTGGTTGTTTGGTTGTAGTGGCATATCATTAGATAACTTTCATGTACCTCAATTTTTCGGTGTATTGCTACTACATTCCTCGCAAGAACCCTAGTATCGAAGAGTACAGACTAAATACATCCCGCCGAATTTAGATAATTTAATTGGTCTTTGGTCTTCACCGATGAACAGTCTGATAAACTATCAATGGAAGATACTACCTAAGAACCTACATCTTCTGAACACAAAAGCCGGGCATTCACAGAAAACCATAATTCAAATGTATTATGGTTTCTTTTACCTGCGGGTTTCCACAATTTTTGCAGTGAAGATTATGAGGAACGCTCAGTTTCTCTTTTGAAGAATTTCGAGGATCTATTTTTGTTATAGGTGGGCCATGTTAACCTAGAAGTTGCACATGACTTAAGTGCTTTCCATCTATTATCGGTAAGTTGCAAAAAGTAGAGGAAGGTACTTCTCTTAATTGTCTCTAGGGTAAACTGGTACCGCCAGGATTGCATTCTGCGAAGCACCAGAGAGGGGGTAAACCACACGATATAAATAGCACGATTCAGGTTTGATTATGCTATGTCAACCACATATTATTATATTAGTACAGTTACCATCTTCTATTCTATTCTTTTTGTTAATAAAGCTAATGAAGTTGATAATAAAGCTAATGTTAATGAAGCTTTTAAGATTATAGGTAATAATTACCATATTAGTCAATTTTCTCGCGATTGCAAATTTAGCTAAATATTTAGTGTTGTGTTACCTAATTCTTAAATTGAAAAATTAAGTCTCAATTCTCAAGATACCGAAATTGGCAATATTAATATATGTGCCTTTAATTTCTAATTGAGATATGCAACACAAACTGACGATCTTTACAGCTTCTATCAAAATGAAGAGAATGAATTATCACGTTCTCACATGTCCACTACTTAGGAGGAGGTATAGTTATAATTCTAAAAAACTCTTTATTTCAGAAAACGAATTCTCAAAAATAATTTCGGAAGTAATTTTCGGAATTAAATGACGATTGAAAGAAGTTCTTCAATCAGGATAATACACATCACAGAAACTCCCTTACATGGGTGTAATCAAATCGATAAGAAGGGGACATCTTTTTCACATGATTTGCATTTAATGTGATATATAAATTCATTCTTCAGATGCATAGTCCTAAATGATGAATATGATAAGGATATACTCTTAATAGAGTGTTCAAGTATAATTATAATTTTTCATTATTTTTTTTATGGTACATATGAAATGAAGACGATATTTCTTACTTTATTATTAAATATTTTTAATTAAAAAGCCAATATCCCATTTTTATCAAAAATTAGTATTCTTAAAACTGCTTAAGTGGACAATGGCTTGCTAACAAGGTTAACTAAAATCACAGTTTGCCAAAATTGTCTAAAACACGGACACAAAATGTTTGCAGTTTAAACATAAAAAATGTTTAGTGCATATCCGCAAGATTCCATGGTCACGGTCAAATTTTATTGATATTTTCACTTTTTTCAATAAAATAAATAAAAATACAATAGAACTGTAGACCATTAGATATTTTCAATGGATAGAGTATAAAATGTGCAATAAAATTTTTCAAGGATTTGTATTTTTTTTGACATTTAAAAATAAATCTTCCTATTATACAAAAATAATTTTCTTCTACTCCTCCTCCCTTCCAATAAATAATAATTTATTGTATATTTTTATGTTCGTATTCATATTTTAAATTGGTTTATGGTTATGATATGAAAGATACAGACACGAACGCAACTAAAAGCTAATTGCCTTACCAAATTGAATGTGAATCCAATTTATTTTTTAGTTTTACAAGGGGCACATTATAGAGAAACTCAAGCTCTGTGAGAGATCTTAATAAATGCACTTCAATGCCCTAAGACAAGTTAAAGAGTCATTAACTCAACTAAGTAAGTTTCAAATATGCATCTCTCTGATGGAGTACAAGGAGTTTCACAATTGCAACTTACAAAATTTATAATAGGACATTATGACTCAATAAACTTGACCGATAGATAGTTGTTGAATGGTTTAAAGGTGAAAGGTGCTTAACAGTCGTTTAATATATAATATGTATATAGTTCTCTTCATAATAAGAATAATAGCAAATTTTTTTTCTCTAATAAATATACTATATGCCATATTACCAGAAAAAAATGATAAATCATGTTCATATATTAGGAAGGGAGATTTGTCAATCTTTAAACTGAGGCTTGCAAAGGCCGTGTGTCAAATTAGGGCATGGCTAGACCGATCTGATATCATGGTGTATGTTTACTAGAGCTATTGGTACACTGGGCTGAAATTTAAACTCAATTTAGGTCTGTTAAAAACTACATTTTCACGAACCACTATCTTTAAACAAATATTTAGTGAGCCTGCCTCAAAAATAGCATGGATCTTTAAACAGAGAAATAGATTACTATATAATTACTATATAGAGTTTATGAATTCCAAGGAACATTGTTGAATTTTTTGTTATTGCACATTTTCGACATAATGCCCTCCTACAGATCAGTGGGTCAATACGTGGTCCAATCTGGTAAATCTAATCTAACCTAAGAGAAGACTATGTTGAAATATTTATTTTTGATGTTTATTTTGACTATAGAAATTACATTGTGGTATGATATTATTATATTAACATTTATTATAATATATTTTATTATTTATTTTATATATTTATCATTCCTATTCTTACATATGTGTGTTTATATTTTAGATGAAGAAGACGCCACAATATCTGCTGCAGCACTTGAAGGTGCAGATAAGCGAGTCATATTAATAAATAAACCCCAACCAAATAAATATCGCAGTAATCATATTTCAACTGCAAAATATAGGTAAACCCTAACATTTCTAACAACTAATATTCAATATAACATTAAAAACATTTTTAGTCAAGTATTTATGAATACATTTTTCGTTCTCATTCTACCTCATTTTCTTTCACTCTCTTTACAGTTTTATAAGTTTTTTACCATCGTTCCTTTTTGAACAATTTAGACGATACTCGAATTGTTTTTTCCTATTAATTGCGTTACTACAGCAAATTCCAGATGTATCACCTACGGGGCGGTATACGACGTTAGTACCATTAATATTTATATTAGCAGTGAGCGGTATTAAAGAAATTGTGGAAGATATTGTAAGTATGAAAAGTATTTCTAATATGTTACTTATATTACTCATTGCTAATGCCTACTAAGATAATATATAATTATATTATATAATATAAAATATACATATATAAAGTAATGGTTTGTCTATTTCAGAAACGACATCGAGCTGATAATGAAATTAATCATAGAAGAGTGGAACGCCTGTGCGGTGGTATCTGGTGTGCGGTGCAATGGGATCAATTATGTGTGGGAGATATAATTAAAGTACCAAATAATTCATTTTTTCCTTCGGACTTGGTGTTATTATCTTCAAGGTATGAATAAA